ATTAATTAATTAAAATGTTAACATGAAAATTGGAACAGTATTTTTCATTATTCATCTTAAATTGTATATTTACAACCATAATTATTTATCTGAGGAAGCTTGGTGGTTTTCTGACAGATTTCCACCAATTCATTTCATTTTGGAGTTATAACATATTACTTTTTTTTTTTTTGCAGGAGAAAAGTTATTAGTTGGCTTTCTACTTTTTACATATAGAAGTCATTCATTCATATTTTAAGAATGTATAAAACCAGATTATTAATCAGCATCTATACTCTTCTTCCAGACAAAAAGTTTGTAGTGTCCTTTTAATATAAAACTTCAACCCCACAATTTCCATTGCTACAGTAAATTCAAATCTAGTTCCAGGTTATTGCTATTGTTCAAAAACCTTTCTTTACAAGGTCATCAGACTTCACAGGTATATTATCAAGTCTTCAAATCAAGTTTTATTATTTCTTTCTCATATATAATCCAAAAAAATTAATTCAAAATTTGTCATGAAACTAAAATGGATTTAAAGGTAGAATCCATAGGAAAAAAATGTAACACGAAAAAGAGAGAAAAAAATGAAAACACTGAAACTTTTTTTTTTTTTTTTTATAATCTAGGAGAAGGCTTAAAATAATGAAACTGGAGAAAAATATACTATACCCTCTGGAGAAAATATACTATGTTTTAGAGAAATCTATAACTTTACCACAATTCCAGTCAAAATCCCAATAATATATTTAATGAGATTTGAGAAATTAATTCCAAAAATCTGCTAGAGGGGTAAATATTGCAGAATAGCTCAGAAAGAGGAAAAAAAAAATCCACACTGGCAGACTATGAGCAAAAGTTGAAAAATAAATTTGAACACATTATAAGGAACATGTACACAAATTTATGTCAATGAACTCTACTACAATGTCTTTACACATTTACATGCTTTCCTTGCACCTACAGGCACTTAAGTTTGCAGACCTCCTTAAAGCTATATTAGTGTATTGGTGATTTATTTAAACTAATCAGATTCCCCTCCTCACAAAATATACAAATTATGAATTTGATTACAGATCTACTTGTAAAACACAGAGATTGTAACAAAAGCAAAAAAATAAAAATATTTAAATCATTTAATATGAAAGCCCTCCTAAGAATATAATTCAAAATCTTAGAAATGTAAAAGAAATGTGACAGTTTAAGCTCACATAGTTATAAAACAGTTCTATGGGGAATAATATCACATAAACAAATAATAAATCATTTGTTGAAAGATACTTGCAATATTTTTAATACTCATACTTCATAACAGGATCTGATGAATTCGTAAAAAAATGTTTGCATAGTTCTGTAGAAAAATGGACAAAGTTTATGACCAGACAAATAACCAGATTAAGAAAATATAGTGAAATAGCTCAGATTCTTCTGATATATCAAAGATGTCATGCTTCCAAGAAAAAAAAAAAAGCAGTTCATTCACCCTTGAGGAAATCTCTCAAGGTCCTTCTTTACGCCCTGCACAGTCACCAGAACTAGTATTCTCCCATCAGAAAGCTCCAGCTTTCAGACAACAGGAGATTTAATATGGTCCAAAGTGATGGCTTTTAGACACCTAATCTAACCAAGGCATACCCATAATTTAAAGTCTTAAAATTCAATATCTAAAAGGGTGGATTGGAACAAGTGTCTGTATTATTTCTGCTGAATGACAGACCACTGGAAGTTGTAGAGATATGAAAATTAGAACATGGCCTATTTGAAGACATTCATAGTTGAAATTATAAAATACTATTGTAATCAAAACAATAACAACAGAAAACAAGAAAAACAGTAAAAACAGTATATTTAGTCTAAATCCTATCCAATGATTACTCCTGCACATAGAGATACTATAAAAAAATTAAGGAAAATCATAACAATAAAGAGAAATCTTAGCTGGAACTAACGAAAGAATTAATCTTTAAGAGAGTTCAGTTAATGGAAGAGACATGAGAGAATATTAAATAAATCAATATTAATTTAATTATTAAGTTAATAGAATATTAAATAAATTATTAAGGCACAATTAATAATTTAGAGGAACTTGGAAGTCTTCCTTAACTAAAAAGCTATTAAAATTTTCAAAAAAAAGTAAACAATATTTGGGAATCTTAATCATGTTTGTAATTTTTTTTTTTTTTAATGTGATAGTAAATGCTGGACTAGAGATCAGACTTCTAAATAGTGAATAGTGAATTGGAATTCCTAGCCCAACAACTTGGGCATTTCAGAAGCATTAAGAAATGAAAATTCTGGTTTCTTTGGGAAAACAACAAATGTTGTAGTGGGAGGGTCCAGAGGCCCTGGGGGCCTGGAAATGGGAGGCTACAGTCCAGGAAGGATTCTGCGGTGGCCTCTGAGATAAGGCCTAAGACATGGAGTGGATCCTGGTCACCAAGGTGGGCCACCTGGTCAAGAACATGAAGATCAAGTCCCAGGAGGAGACCTAGCTCTTTTCTCTGGCTATCAAGGGATCTGAGATCATTGATTTTTTTTCCTGGGGGCATCACTCAAGGAAGAGGCTTTGAAGATCATGTTTGTACAGAAGCTGACTCATGCTGGCCAGCAGCCGAGGTTCAAGGCATTTGTTACTATCGGGGAGGTAGCCACTGCTATGGAGGGGACATCATCCTGGCCAAGCTCTCTATTGTTTCTGTGTGGAGAAGCTACTGAGGGAACAAGATTGGCAAGCTCCACACTGTCCCTTTCAAGGTGACAGGATGCTATGATTCTGTGCTGTTGTGTCTCATTCCTGTCCTCAGAGGTACTGACACCATCTCAGCCCCTGTACCCAACAAGCTGCTGCTGATGGCTGGTACTGATGACTGCTACACCTCTGCCAGGGGTTGTACTGCCACTTTGGGTAATTTTGCCAAAGCCACCTTTGATGCCATCTCCAAGACATACAGCGACCTGACCCTGATCTCTGGAAAGAGACTGTGTTCACCAAGTCTCCCTGTCAGAAATTCACCCACCATCTTGTGAAAACTCACACCAGAGTCTCTGTGCAAAGGGTCCAGGCTGCAGCTGCAACATAGGGTTTTTATATAAGAAAAACAAGGTGAATAAAACTTCTTAAAGAAATAAAAATTCTGATAGAATAAGAGACCTGAATAATAAGAATAAGAATATCATGCAAATATTTATCTATTGTTAATTTAAAGCTAAATTAAAAGAAATAATCAAACAAATAAATTAAAAAAAAAAATCTGAGCCGAATAACATTCGGCATAACATTTAGAATTAAAGGCTATTCTAAAGGCTGAGCTGAGGACATGTTTGAGGTTTCAAGAGAAAAAGCACATTCATTTTTTTATAGTAGTAATAAAAATGATAAAACAAGTAAATAAACTGTACACATAGATACATGGAGAGATTTATACATTGGAGAAATGTTTACATTGCAAAAATAAAGATAAATGCTTCAACATTTCAGAGATGGTTATACCCACAAAACGCTGCT